GGGGGCAGGGTGAGTCTCTAAAGGGTCCTGGAACACACCCTAGGACCCTTTGGAGGCTCACCCAGCCCCCCCCCAGGGTGTGTTCCAGGACCCTTTAGAGACTCACCCTGCCCCCTGGGGGGCCAGGGGGGCGAAATCACCACCTTCTGAGACTCTTTTGAGGCTTGAGAAGCTTCAGAAGAGTCCCAGAAGGTGGTGATTTCGCCCCCTCTGACCCCCGGGGGGGCAGGGTGAGCCTCCAAAGGGTCCTAGGGTGTGTTCCATAAGATGGACCTCTCCATAAGGCTCACCAATTTTTAGGAGAAGAAAATAGATTATTCTTTCCTGTTTTCTTCTCCTAAAAATTTGGTGCGTCTTATGGAGAGGTGTGTCTTATGGAGCGAAAAATACAGTAATTGTCTTACCGGAGGTAATGAGCTATTAGTTCAACACGATTGTATGATATTTTCCCTTAGAATGTCGTTATATTGCACAGAGTTTTGAAAAAATCCTTATTTGGATTTTTATAACTCCCAGAACTGTCCATCCAGCAAGTAACTTTTCCAAGCTCTTTTGTGCTATAATCCTAAAAGAGTAGGTAGAAATAATTTACTCTCGACTGAATTACCAAATAGTTTCTGAATGTTCATGGGCTAAGACTGAATTAGAGTTCTGCATTTTGTGTCCTGATAAATCAAGTATTACAACATCTTGGTCATATCATTTTTATTCTTACTTTTAGATATTTGGGGCACTAGCTTCCGAGCCCTTTAAAGTGAGTGATGGTTTTTATGGAACCGGAGAAACCTTTCTTTTCACTTTCTGTCCGGAGTTTGAGGTAAGTCTTAAAAGGATAATTAATGCAGTATTGCATTACATTTACTTTTGAATGCAGTATGTTTACATTGTTGAATCCTGCTTAAGAGATAAAATATTTTTTGTAAGTAAACTTTATCCCTCTTATTAAAATAGTTCTAAGGAACTGTATCATTAAAATTCCTGACATTATTTTTCAACAACAATAACAAAAGGAAAAAAAACTCCGTATGTCTGGCTCTGTTACACAGCATACTCAGGGGCTGAATCAGTGATAATTATGAAACTTCAATAAGGCTTCTAGAAAACAGGGAGGGGTTTCCTTCTTTAGTAGAAGGTTTCAGAAGTTGTTTTTTTTAAATTTTTAATAAAAAGCAGCAATCCAAAATAATTCAGTGAGTCACTGACAATTGTTACAGGTCGCAATTGTAAAATAATTTTCTAAAGGAACAACCACTGTTGTTGCTTTACTTCCTTCTTTGACAGTAAGTCACTTAATCTGTATTTATTTGCATTTTTTTTAATTTTATATATTATTTTAGGTCTTCAAGTGGACTGGAGATAACATGTTCTTTCTTAAAGGAGACATGGATGCCCTAGCTTTTGGTGGTGGAGGGTGAGTAATGAATCTGTTTCTCTATCTTTATCTAATAAAGAATTGGTTTATGTTGTGTTTTCCCCATCTCTTCTTTTGGGGGTAGTCCAGACTGTGCAGCTTGCCGAAGGCTAGACAGGCTACCTCTTTTCCTGGAATGTGGAATGGTGAATCAGACTCTCAGTGTCTGGCTCCACCCAGGTACTGAACTCACTGAGCTATGGGAGCCTGAAGATCTCCATAACCCTTTTTCACCTGCTGAATCAGCTCTCAGATTTTTAACTGGTGATGACTAAACATAAAAGAAGACTGAGATGTTACATTTTGTTTAAACACAAAATGTCCTGGGGACCTTGTTGCTTTTCTCTTCTTTGGAGTGTATCAGACTCACTGCTGGTGTCAAACACGCAGGGAACTAGTCAAAATTTTAAAGTTCTTCTTTGTGGCCTCTGTGAATGCACACATATGGGTATTGTCTGCGCCTTTGCTGATGTTCTCGGAAGATTCTAAAGCTGAAAGTAACAATTTAGTGGTTTGATTCCCCCACGAGCCATATGCTCCGCCCACCATCCCTTTCCATTAGTTCCTCTTTTCCGCCAAGCTGTTCACTTCTCTTAGGAAGATTGGAGCACTTCTAAATCTTCTCTACTGGCTTTCTAGCCTTTACCTACTTCTATAGCCTTGAGCTAACTAAACCAAAAGTCATTTTAAGGACTATCCTTCCTTCTACCGCTTTCTGCTGAACGGTGGCTATTTTTTCTTCTCTTTCTCTTTCTCCCGCTTCTATTCCCCCTCCCTTTTGTTCTTTCCTATGGCCTATCAGTTTCCTTTCAAACGCTGCACTTCTTGCCCTAACGAAATCTCTCTTTCTGATGCTCATGATCAGTGTTTATTTTGTTTGGGTGAATCGCACCCCACTCATTCCTGCACTGCTTGCAAGAATCTCACTCGTCCAGCGTTGAAGCAGCGTCTTCAGAGACTTCGGTCTCACCTTTGGCAAATCGCAATGAATCTTCCATCCCCTCCTCGGGAACCGGTGCTTCCTCGTCCAATCGGCTCCCAGCTGCCCAGCTCTCCTCTAAAGCCGCGGACTCTGTCCCCCCTGAGGATCCGAAGCAGAAAAAGAAAACCCAAAAATCAAATCCACTAAGTCCTCCAAACCTCCCATTCCTCCTTCTAAGAAGCCCAGCGCCAAAACTTCCAAACCAGACAAAGCTGCTCGTTTTGAGCCACACCAGCCTTTCCTCCCTCCCCCTCCTTTCAAGGAATCGTCGAGGGATGACCAGGACTTTGCCTCTGACCAGGAGGATCTCCAACAGACGGTGATTTCTGCTATGGTACCGAGTTTCACCCCGAGTTTCGGCCAACCAGTGGCTGTGATTCCCTCCAGCCTGGCCTCAGCCCGTTCCAACCCCGCAACAGGGAGGGCAGTTGAAACTCAGGTCTCTGATCCCGAATCTCCCGCCCGCTCCCCCAGGAAACGAATGGAGAAACAAAAGCATGTATCCCCACAGAGACCCTCCACACGTTTGGAGATTTCTTTCCATTCCCTATGATGGCATACCAGCTTTTTGACCCCGCTGTCTGGTATGATATCACTTTGAGCGATATTATACGGACCAACAGAAACTAGCTTGTTTTGCCCCTGAAACTGCCAAGTCCTCTCCTCCTGAGAGAGGTTCTCCCAAGACACAGCAACTAGCTTTGACATCGTCCTAGCCCAGACTCCCAACGTCATGGGAATCATATTCTGCCCCTGATGGCATGGAGCACCCCCATATGCGGGATCAGTCTCCTTATGAACCCCGATGTCATGACACTTCACCTTATTCACAACTGTCCTTTGATGGCAACCAATCTGTCTCATCACATCGTTCCTCTCCTGATGTTCCTACCCCTCCAGACGGGACTAAAGAGGCTCACCTTTCCTCCCCATCGGAGGACCTCTCCTCTTACACTCACTTTATTCCATGCACGGCTCATGCCCTTCACCTTCAGGTGGAGGAACCTTCACCTCCCGAGCCCAACCCTGTCTTCGATGACATCCTTCATGACACAACATCGCCAGTCAGCCTCTCCTTTAATAAATCAGTCTTACAACTCATCAAAGACACTTGGGACAAACCCCCTTCTATGATGCAGATATCTCGTACAACTCCCATGGCGATGACATTGGCTTCCTCAATAAACACCCTCTACCAAATTCCATTATAGTGGAATCTAACCAGTCCCGTAGCTCTAACAAATCTAAGGCTACACCTATGAACAAGAAAGGCAGGAAACTTGATATCCTCGGCAGGCGAGTTTACTCCCTACAGTCCTTCCTCCTACGGAATATCAACTGTCAGGCCACTATGGGAGCATATCAATGTTACCTTTGGAACAGGGTCCTCCCTCTTTTGGAAACCGTTCCTGAGTCAGTAAAATCTGACCTTATAGACATTCATGCTGAAGCTATCACCATGGCCAAACATCAACGGCTTGCAGTGTGCCACGCAGCAGAAGCCGCATCCAAGACCTTGGTATCATCCATTTCCATTCGTCACCATGCTTGGCTTCGCTCATCAACTATTTCTGATGACACCAAGTCCCGCATCGAGGATTTACCCTTCGACGGTACTGGACTGTTCAATAGCAAGACGGATAAGGCTGTGTAGAACTTCCACAAAATGCGCAAGACCGCAAAATCTTACTCTTCCCAGCAATTCTCTACCTACTCAAGGTCTAACTACCGCTTCAATCAACCCTATTCCCAACCATACTCCCAATATCAATACCAGCGGTATCAGCCATACAGGCAATTTCGACCTTATCAGCGAGACAGGTCTTCCTCAACCCCGCAGCCACTCCTGCCTTCCTTTCGTCCCTGCAGTTCAACTCCACGTCAATCTCTTCCCAAGTACCAGAGGAAGGGTAAGCCATACTAATCCTACCTTCCCAAGGGAATACCCCCACTTCATTTCAAACCAGATTGGCACCATACTTGTCCTCTTGGCATTCTGTTACCACCGACCACTGGGTCCTGTCCATTATCTCCCAAGGCTACAGGATTGAATTTCAATCCCCGCCCCCATTGGGATTTATTTGCCCTACACCTTTTTCTCCTATCCTCCAGGATGAGGTTGCCACCCAACGAGCCATTGTTCCCGTACCATTGGACGATTGGCATAATGGATTTTATTCCAAGTACTTTACTGTACCTTAAAAGGACAAAGGACTCCATCCTATTATGGACTTAAGACTCCTAAATACCTTTATTCGACCTCGTAAATTTCGGATGCTTACACTGGATACAACTCTTCCTTTACTTTCGCAGAACAATTGGTTCATCATCATCGATCTACAAGATGCCTATTTCCACATCTCCATACATCCTTCCCATCAAAAATACCTCCGCTTTCATTTCAACGATGCTGTCTTCCAATATTGCTCCTTGCCATTCAGGTTCTCTACAGCCCCAAGGACTTTCACAAAATGTGTGGCACCCATCATCACTTACCTACGCCTCCATGGCATCACCATTTATCCCTACATCAATGATTGGCTAATTGTCACACCATCTTACCACGACGCCATAGCCACCCGAGACTTCACTCTCATCACCTTGCAGAGGCTCAGACTGACTGTAAATGTGCAGAAGTCTCACCTTCAGCCCAAACAGACGGCCCTCTTTATCGGTGCTCACATCAACTCCTTGCAGGCAAAGGCCTTTCTTCCTCATGAAAGGTTCCTAAAAATAAAGGACTCAATATCGTTCTTCCGAACCCATCAAACTGTCCCCGCTCATTGAGCGCAGCGCCTCCTTGGCCTCATGGCATCTACCACATCATTGATCCTCCACACCAGACTCAAAATGACGCCACTTCAGTCTTGGTTCCTCATGCTGTTTGACCCCATGTCAGACCTCCCAAGCAAAAGACTACCAGTCCCATGCGAACTAATCACTCAACTCGCATGGTGGACTTACCTTCCACACCTGCTGACCTTTCTGCCTCTCCAACCCACTATCCAGGTCACCACCGACACAAGCCTGTCCGGTTGGGGTGCCCACTGCCTTTCCCACAAAATCCACGGGCTGTGGTCAAAACAGAAACAGACTCTCCACATAAACCACTTAGAACTTCTGGCTGTCATCAGAGCCTTCAGTGCCTTTCTCCCACTCATCAAGGGACAAGTGGTCTAGCTAGCCACGGACAATACAACAGTGCTCTTCTATGTAAACAAGCAGGGAGGAACACACTCCCGCTCCCTATTTTATTTGACTGTCAACCTTTGGGAATGGTGCTACTGCAAACACATCTACCCCATAGCTGTCCATAAGCCGCCCTGAGTAGACATAGTCTAGAGGGGCGGGGTAAAAATCAAATAAATAAATAAATAAATAAACAAACAAACAAATAAACAAAATATTACCAAAGAGGACAACTACATTGCTGACCGCCTCAGTCACCTCCCTTCAATGACACACGAGTGGTCCCTGAAGGACTCCGTATTCCACCAACTGTGCCATCTATGGGGCTCCCCGTCCATCAACCTCTTTGCAGCCATCAGCAATTGGAAATGCCAGATCTTCTGCTCCAGAGACAGATGTTCAGTTGGGGATACTTTCATGGTGGACTGGTCCAAGGACTTTCTTTACCTCTTCCCACCGATCCCGTTCATTCAGCGCGTGATCATCCAGCTCAAACATTCCAACGTCCATGCCATTTTCATAGCCCTGAAATGGCCTTGACAACCCTGGTTTACTCACCTGGTCTCCATGTCCACGGACTGGATTCATCTTCCACTGCCCCCGGACCTTCTCTCTCTCAACCAGGGTATGATCCATCTCCCGGACCTAGCCTCCCTCAATCTCGTAGCGTGGAAGATATCCTGAAATCATGACGGTGCTTCATCAAGCCCGTAAACCTTCTACTATCTCCCTGTATGAGAGCAAATGGAAAACCTTCCTTAAATATTGTGCTGAGCACAACTTACCTACTACACCAGTTTCACTTGCAACCTTACTTACCTTCCTTCTTCACCTCTTCCACAGCAGCCTCACTCTGTCCACATTAAAGGTGTACATCTCCGCCATCGTTGCTCACCAACCAACCAATTCTCCATCAGCAAAACTCTTCTCACATCCTACATTGAAGAGGTTCCTTAAAGGACTTGTAACACTCAACCACTACTTCAACATATCCTTCCTCAGTGGTCCCTGCAGGTCGTACTCAACGCCTTGACACATCCTCCCTTTGAGCCCATGTCCTGCAGTCTTCAACTACTAACCTACAAAACCCCATTCTTTGTGGCAATCACCTCAGCTAAACGAGCCTGAGAACTTGCGGCCCTACGTTGAGACCCACCTTTTACCCAGTTTCACCTGACAAGGTCATCATGTACTTTGATGTTTCTTTCCTGCCCAAAGTAGTCTCTAATTTTCATATGAATCAACCTATTATACTACCTTCTTCTTCAAGTCCCCATCGACCCCGTTAGAGCATATGCTCCACACTCTGGACGTCAGGTTACCTTCTTCTTCAAGTCCCCATCAACCCCGTTAGAGCATATGCTCTACACTCTGGATGTCAGGAGAGCATTTGCTTTCTATATCCACAGGACCAAGTCACACACACAGTTCAACACTTTTCATATGCTTCTACGGTCCCCATATAGGGACCCCTGCATCTTCCCAATCCATCTCCAGATGGATAGTTTCCACGATTTCTCTCGCCTATAGACTCTCAGGAAAATCGCCTCCTGACCATTTGACGGCTCATTCCACTAGAGCCCTTTCCACATCGGTTGCCTTCCACCGCGGCACTGAGATTCCGGACATCTGCCGTGCTGCCACCTGGTCCACACCGTAGACTTTCATACGGCACTACTGGCTCGATGTCAGAGTGAGACATGATGCTTCCTTCGACAGAGCTGTGTTGGCATCCTTCCTGCCATGACATCCTACCTGCCGGTAAGTGAAGCTTGCTAGTCACTCACATGTGTGCATTCACAGAGGCTATGAAGAAGAAGATAAGGTTACTTACCTGTAACCATAGTTGTTCAAGTGGGCTTCTGTGAACGGCACTACTGGCTCGATGTCAGAGTGAGACATGATGCTTCCTTCGACAGAGCTGTGTTGGCATCCTTCCTGCCATGACATCCTACCTGCCGGTAAGTGAAGCTTGCTAGTCACTCACATGTGTGCATTCACAGAGGCTATGAAGAAGAAGATAAGGTTACTTACCTGTAACCATAGTTGTTCAAGTGGGCTTCTGTGAATTCACACTACCCACCCACCCTCCCCTCTTCCGTCACGGCTCATTTAACTTGTCATACTTCTGCTTGGCGGAAAAATTTTTGGAACTGAGGGGAAGGGATGGTGGGCGGAGCATATGCCTCGTGGGGGAAATCACACCACTAAATTGTTACTTTCAGCTTTAGAATATTCCGAGAACGTCAGCACAGGCACAGACAATACCCATATGTGTGAATTCACAGAGGTCCATGCAAAGAACTATGGTTATAGGTAAGTAACCTTATCATCCCCACTTTTGTTTCCATTTACCCTTTTGTTGAAAGGGATGCAGAATTGTTCACAGTAAGGATGCAGTTCCTAATAAAAGAAAATGCTATATAGAACAGAAAAGCAGGTAGGTCCCCAGGATTTCAAATGTAGCCAAAAAAATTTAAGGGATTATCAGAAAATAAAATATGTCTATATTTCTTCTAGTCTAGTGATAATATGTTTCTGTGAAAGCAAGGTGCAGTGGTTGACAAACTGAAAACTAATTCTTTATATGTATTGCAGGGGTGAATTTGCCCTGTGGCTTGATGGGGATCTGTACCATGGAAGAAGTCATTCTTGTAAAACATTTGGGAATCGCACTCTTTCTAAGAAAGAAGACTTCATTATACAAGACATTGAAATTTGGGGCTTTGAATAAATACAAACTGCTTCTATGAAAGGTTGTCCCAAACCTGACACTGATCAGTGCAGCTCAGAAACTCCCTTGAAGCAATATGATGCAGCATATTTGTTTTGCAATATGCCTTTCCACATTCGTTCGACATAAAACTGTGGGATTTCTCTGTTTGGTTGGATCTGTCTTTCATCTGCCTGTTATATTTTGAAAGCTATAGGGCTCTCAAGTCATAATTGAGTATTTACATTACTGGGGAGGTAGGCCTTCAATCATCATGTCACTCATCTCTTATTTCTTTTCGTACTCATTACTACACAACTTTGTTAGACTTTCTTTCAGACTGCTTCATCAAGACAACATTTAAGGTGCACAAAGCCTAATAGGAAATTTCTCCATTAGCCTAAATAATAAAAGAATGAAGTTTCAGAATGTATTGACACAGACTAATCTGGATTCTTATTTCTACCAATCAGATAGTGCCACTAATGAGTTGGGAGGTATATTTTCACATTCAGCAGTGCCACTTCTTTGTTAAAGCATAGAGAATCTTCTTTGGTAAAACATAGAGAATTCTTATCTGTTGTATTTTGCCATTGAAACTTAACTGCCCTATTGATTGTACTGAAGTATTTTGCACATGCTGTTAAATGATCTGCAGGCTTGGGACAAATGTTGGACAATGACTGAGTTACATGGTCAAGAGATATTAAAGAGCAATGGGCAATTGGACAAAGTGAGCATAATGCAATGTGTAATTCATAGCTATAGCAGGGCATTATACTGTATGTACTAAGACTATGAAACAGACACATTTTCCGAACAACAGATAAGGTATCAGATATATATACTGTTTTATAGTTCTTCTGTTATAGCCTTGTACCACATCACCTTCAATAATTGCTCCTGTTCAAAAAAAGAAAAAATATAGATGTGGTGTTTTCTCTTCTTTTGAGTGGATCTATGTTGTAAACTGCAGCTAGCACCAGCTCTGATGCAATGGGGTAATGTACTCTAGATAGACATCGTAACTCAGTAGATGTGTAATATGCAAACGTACTGTTCTGTGACCTCAAAATAAAAAAGAAAAAAAGACAGACCATCATATAGTAGATCAGTAGCTCTTGTCCACTTTTGTAGGAAAACTGAAAAGCCATTGTGGCAATAATCATTCAACAACAGTTTATTTCAAAGCTTATATTCTATGTTTATGCAAAACAAAAGTATAAAATGCTGTTGTGTGACAGTGAATGAATTTGTGCTGAAATCTCAGCTATTCCAGATGACTATTGTATATATTACCTTGTAAATTAATGTTTAAAGATAGTTTTTTGTTATTTGGGGGGGGGGAGTGTTGATTGACGGGTTGCTTCTAGCACTTTAAATTATTCTAGAAATGGAATAAAGAGCCAAATGGCTTGGCTTAAATCATTAGCTATAGTTGTATAGTACGTTGCTAATATCAAGGTGTTTCAGAAGTTTGAACACTTACCAGAAGAATGCTTACTGCTGTGGTAAAGGGAAAGGGGATGTTCTATCTATGTAATATGCTCATGCTTAATATAACTTAAAATGCACAGCATTGTTCCCTGTCTCTGTGTATAGCTCTCTACTCCTGTTAGAACTTAGTACAATAAGTGTGGATTCAGTGTTTACAAACACAAGGATCTGTAAATAAATTACAATTATTTTTCTCCCCTTTGGTCTTCCACAGCAGTATTATTGTCTTTGTGGATTTAAGACTAATTATAAACAATCCTGTAATGGATTTAAAGTACTATAAGGTAATAGTGATATGTATAGCAAATAAATCTAAATACATGTAACATGAAACTTGAGTTGGGCTTTATTTAGACACACAAGTAATTCTGAACAGTGGGTTCATTCCCATCATTTCCAGTGTCTGAATTGTATGTACTAATACAGAGGCTCATGTCGATAATTCATTTACAAGTGGGGACAGCAAGTCAGAAAATCCCTAAGGTGTTTCAGTTCACAAAATCAAGGGAAAACACACAGATGTAGACTCCCACAAACAGGCCTGTGAAGACAGCATGTGCATAGAATGGAATGTTGACTGTCAAGGAGTGGGCAAGGGGAAATAGAAAACCAGGTGGAAGTGTAAAGGAAATAAAACTGAGTGTTGTGAAGAAGGACTTGGCTGGCTGAAGTAGTAAACAGGAACTATCCAAGGTGCTATACTGCCTATATATTACTTCTACATACATATTAGAAGATACTGTATTGTCATTGGTGTCCTGTACGTACCAATGATGTCATTGTACTGGCACAAAATCTGTTGCATTATCCGTTGCATGCTTTTGGGTTTAGTCAGGGTATTATCCAATACAGTTTTGCTCAACCCAGTTGTACCATCAAGTTCCTTACAACTGCTTGCATAAAAGCAAAGCAGTATAACACATTTATACTAGCAGGGACTTTCACTCTGCTAACCTTACGTGGAAATTATTTCTTCATCATCTTGAGCAATGACCTATTACTGTGCATTCCCATTCTTTTGGCCACATCTGTAAAACAGAAGTGCAGCAAGAAATAAATATATGCTATGGAACATATTTGTTTGTTTACTTTAGTTATATATAACTCAGCAGCTGAAAATCTTGCCTATACCAAAATCTGTTTTGTGCAACATGGTATGAACATTCTGGTTTCCTAGTTAAATGATATGTTTGTTTTGGAAATTTAGACCAAATGGGCTTCCCCTGTTTTATTGAAATGAATACTACAAATTATTTTTTGATGCCTCTACGTCTGCACCGACTTTCTGTGCTAGCGTTTAGAGATGGGCTTTGAAATCTATTGGAGTCGGTGTTGAGGTGTAAGGTTGTGTTAAAATAGAAAGTGCTGCAAGTGCTTGGAGCTGGTATATAAGTAAATTCATGAATAAAATGTACCTAATTTCAATTGGTTTGGCTAAGTTAGTTTTTATCATTAAGAATTTAACATAACTAATTAGTGAATGTTTGCTTTACCTACCCAGATTCATCCATGCCTAAATTCAGGCACACTGATTTCTGCCTCAGCAACTTCCTTTTGGAGACATTTTTATGCAGTCCTTGTCATGGTCTTTGACAGTATTTGTATGTTTCCAGATCTTTAATTCTTGCAAATGAGGAAGTGCATATAGCAGAGCCAGGCCACAGATAGAATTGTGCAAATAGGAAGGCCTTCTTGCTGGCAACAGTTTGCAGAGTTGGGCACTCTTGTTTATTTTTCAACTTATGTTCGTCCAGTAGGAAGCCCTGATCACCTTCCTTAAATAGCCACAGGAAAGGAAATGAAGGACTTTAAAAGGGTAAAGCAGGGACCTGGTTTTATGTTTCTATTCCTGTTTGCACTATCAACCTCCATTGGCCATCCTCTTCTCTGGGTCTCAGATTAATGGTGCTGCAGCCATAGTATAGATCTGTTAATTTAATCAATGACTTTGCAATAGGAAACACAAGAAAGAGTGACGTCTAAGGTAAGCACCATATTCTCCTCTCCTGCCCCTAGCAGAGTGTTGTCAGTTTTCTTTTATTTCCCCATTCCCAATTGCAACATGTAAACACCAGATTAACACAAGGGACCTATGGAGGGTGCCCCTGGTTCTTTGATCTGTCCTATGGATACCCCAAAATGCAGAAATACCCCTGAATTGGTTCTGATGTACACTCTCCCCCTGCCAAAGACAGCACATATCCCTAATAGTTACTTGTATTTATCCAATGGTGACAGTGCCAATTTAAAAGTTCATACAAGCAAGTGCAAATCATATTAAAAAAACCGTGCAATTATGGTGAAAAACCCAGAAAGGTATACATAACCCTGTTTCTGCTTAGCCTTAGTTGCATACAACATTTATTGGTTATCTGGACATAGCTGTGGTGGAAATCTTTTTGCCATTTCAAGCAAATTTTTGAAGCTGTAATGAATCCTGGACATCCTCAAGAGATGGAACGAATGCTGTATTGGGAATGACGTAATTAACCTAAGTTTCGGCTTCAGATTTTAGAAATTGGAGAGAAGCAAAATGTATGAGAGCAAACTGATATTTCCTGTTCCAGCATCTCATGACTGCTAGTAGCAATCTTTATTTTGTGGAATAGTTTATAAGCAAAAGTGACAATTCAGTTCTGAAAGTTGTATTCTTTCTCTTGAGGGTTTCTCTGTTGATCTTCATCTTTAACAATTCAATGAAAACTTACAGAAGATGGGTCCTTCACCTAATGTTGTAAAAATCACCACAATGACATGTATTTTTTTAAAGCAATCTCCAAAGTATGGATAGGCCACTTCAGCACATTTTCACTTAATGTAGATTTGAGTAGTGTTGTATCTTGTCTCCTATAGCTATAAAGCCTAAAAAGCCACTTGTTTAAGAAAGCAGAATCCCCACACTCGAATTTTCAGAAGCACTTCAGAGCACAAGGGCTGGGGAAGAGGATGAGGATATATTACGTGTCACATTTTTCTCCTTTCATTGAAAATAATCCTGGAGAATTTATCTGCTTCATAGTGCAACCATCCAAACTCATGAGTGTAATCCTTCCCAAATACATTACCTTGACCCTTAATTGTAGTCAAGCATACTTAATGAGCAGTTCACAATCTCAAATTGGAATCATCTTGGGGATAACCAGTATCATAAGGACTTCTGTGCAAATAGCTGGATTTTGGGGAACATCACAAATATAAAGTATCTAAGTGAAAGTTGTACAAGCAATAGTTGGTTTGCAAAACACTGGCAAACGTGTTTTCTGAGAGATCATGTCCCATTGTGCAGCTTGTGTCACTTGAGTTTTCCATTGTGCAACTAGATGCACGTCCAGCTGTTCATCCAGCTGAACAATTGTGCAATTCAAGATAATGTCTGGGTAATTCAACCTTTCTGATTGCCCAACATAATACTGACTTGAGTTCACAATGTAATGCCATACACCACATTCTTCAGTTTTCTTGCATGGTAGTTACATAGTTTCAGTAACAAGAACACAAAGGTGATGGATATTTTTCCTGTATCCAGAATGGTTGGCCTTTTTCCATGCATTAGGTTTGGATATTTGTTCAGTGCAATGGACAAATAGTACCTTTGTGACAGAAAATTAAAGAACTCTGGTTTTTAAGCACTTCTCAGATTAACAGCCCTCTGATAAAGAAAAACATCTGATAAAGAAAAAAAGACATCTATAAAGAGCAAACCAGGTGATAGGAGCAAAGTGATGAAGTAATATTCAAGAACCAAGTCATCTGGTTTCTGAATTCGGTAATCTTCCATGCATTTAACTTGTCCACGGAGAGTACAAGTTTTAAATTGTTGTTACATTTGTTCATCTCTTTAAACCACATCATTTTGTCTACAAGTCAGTACTTAAGTCACAGAACAAAAGTCAGTACTTAAAGTCACAGAAATCTTATTCCAAGTCCGTGAATATAGCGAAATTTATTTTTAGAGGCAAAACAATTTATAATTGTAAGTTTGTGTCATGATGGTAAGCTTATGTACTAGTCTGAATTCTGGAATAACATTTCCTGTAATAATCACTTTTCTATGATTTTTTATACCAAATTGACATACTGCTCAGTGTGTTGAAGGCAGACTGACAAACACATTTTTACTGTGTGGACAAAGTAGTGTGTATTACATCTGCATAGTCTGGTAACTCAGGATAGCTTGATCCTTATCTGGCTGAATAACTCAGTGGTTTAGGTATCTGGCTGCAGAGCCAGAAACTGAGTTTTATCCCTCATTGTGCCTTCTGGAAGAAGAGCCTGTGTATGGGCATGCTGCACTGTCCCAGGGTGCCCTCCCCCCACAAAATAAAGGGAAATGGTAAACCATTTCTATGTATTATCTACCTAGAAAACCCCAAAAGAGTCATCATAAGTTGGAATCAACTTGATAGCATGCAATTATTATTATAGTTTGACACAAAACAGTCATTTTCTTCTGTAAGAAGATGTGTGATCTTTCATTTTGAAAGACAATATATCATAGGAAAAACAGTTGATTCGAGAGCACGGCCAAACAGCCCAAAAAACCTACAACAACGATCGGATCCCGGCCATGAAAGCCTTCGAGAATACATTGATTGCAATTGTGTTTTAAAATTACAATATTATTTTAGCTATTCTACACATTTTCCATGGAGTAGTAATCAGATTCATGACCATATAATTATAAATAATTATGAATAGCTAAACAGCAATTAAACACATCTAGAAGCTATCTTCTTAAGCACTTGCAATTTAACATACTGTGTTTCAAAACTGCCTTTGTAGTCCTGAAATTATAGTGTCTACTGTTAAATATAAATATCCTCTCTATGTGTGTGTGCTACTCAAAATTTATGTAAATACTTTTTCTGAATATCTGATACTGTGCTATAGTTTATTACAGGGTACGTTTCAAGCAATATGGAAAGCTGGAACAGGTATCCCATAAGCATTCAATTCAGTGATATTTCCACTGATGAAATGGCTGGAATTCTACTGGTATTCTAGTATGGATTGCATAACTTGCTGCTGCAAATTGCAGCTAATTAATGAAGTGCTGGGGTGGATCTTGGTTGCACAACTGGGTGTGTGACCAGGCACATGACCAAGAGGTGCCCTGGCAGCTGATCAACGTCAGGTTATGCCAACCTTACACAAATACCAGTAGGATTTTGGCTATTATTTTAAGAGGCAATAGATAGCCATTGCTATCCCACTAAAGCATACAGTGTATTGGATACATGCAGAACCACTTTCACCAACAAATAGCTTTTTTAATATCATTTCATTCTGAACAGATGTGAATTTTATTCCCCAGTTTAATTTGCAATAAACAGTTCAATAAAAAATTACCATTTGAAGAAGTGCAAGAACTTGCTAATGTGTAGACTGACTCCCAAGGAGAACACTAATTGCTCAGTTGGTCTTTCTGATGAACAGTAGTAGTGGACAAAATTTTTCATTCTGTGGTTCTCATGGTGGTTACGAATCAATATACTTTGATTTAGGCTGCAACTAAAAGTTATTTCAACAAACTTATTATCACATGATCATCGCGGCCCTGCCATAACATTTCTCCTTCAAAGTCCACCATCCCATGCTTCCTGGCCCTCATCAGTATTCCAACAACCTTATCTGAAATGCGGACATATCTCTCAAAGAGCTCGCCAAAAGTGACTTGGATCTTGCCATCCCGACACTGTGGGGCCATTGTTCTGATGATGAAGCACAAGTCTTTCATTTCACGGTGAATATGGTCCTCTGCTCTCTTGGCCCTTTCTGCCGTTTTTGTTCCCTCTTTAGGGCGTCCATAGCCTTGGTCTCCTTTACGCAAGCGTGTGGACATGGCCAGCTCGTAGTCAAACTCCTCACTGAAAGGATTGAGTTTCTGCATTGTTACATGCTCATCTGCCCATTCTTCCCACTTCCCTTTCAGATTTTCAACCGGACTGTATTTCTTAGGGCACTTGGTGTTTCTGTTGGCACTGGCGGAAACAAAGAACACAGAACAAGGCTTATGAATTGAGTTGCATTTCAATGAAACATCTTAGTACTATTCATCTTTTGGTTGAGAGCAAAGACCACTAGGTGGCATGTCATCCCTAACTCTGAAGTCATACTTACATTAGCTACCTCTGGACCTGCTTATGATTCTGCTGCTTTTTTAGAGGATAGTAAGGGTTGTTCTAGATTGCTTTAAAAACTCTTTATATTAAGAAAAAAAAAAGCATGATCACATCCATCATCCCATGAGCTGAGGGTAGCAAATTATCTTCAGCAATGCTGTGAAGTAGTTTTAAGCTGAACATTTATATTACCCCCAAGATCACTACCGGTGAACTTAGATTAGAATTCTGATCATGATAAAAATCCAACACTTTTAACTACTTTGTTGTTGTTATGTGACATCAAGTCAGAACTGCCTTATAGCAACTCTAATCGGGTTTTGAAGCTAAGTGAGGTTTTTAAGGAGTGGTTTTAACAGTTCTACCCTTTAGTAAGCTTCTAAGGCAGAACCGGTAACTGAAGCCAGATCTTCCAAGTCCTAGTTGGTTACTCTATTTGCTACACCACACTGGGTACCCTATAGCTACTCTGTTCCACTGTAATTCTATTATTTTTTATTTAACTTATATGCTGCCCACTCTATCCAAAGGTTTCTGGGCAGCTTACAACAATTAAAATTCAATTAAATTGTAAAATAAAACATGTATGATTCAACACAGTTGAAGTCATGCTGTAACCGCAACCCATTCATGCTCCAAATGACAAAATCTTATTAGTTGTAAAAAAAATGAATTAGAAGGACCCAAGGAAACCAATCCCACTGTTCTGGGATAACAACCAAATTAAACTCACTTTAAATTTGTTTCACAAAAAGAGGGTTCAGAACATGGCCTTAGGGGGGAAAGGCCAAAGATTTCAGTTCTCAAGGACACAGAAACCGGCTGCGTTTGACTTTGAGATAATACAAGCAATTTTCATGGCTCAGTTATGTTTGAGCCCTTGGGAAAGTCAGATGACTGTGAAACATGGCTGCTAGTGGTTGTCTTTACTATGTTCTTCTGATCACTAAGAGAACAGGGACAGACCCACCCCAGCTTCCCCCAGGAAGAAGTTTCACTACTAGAGGGAAGCCACCAAGAAAACCTTATTGTTTCAGCTGCTTTTTAAATGCTTTGTTATGATAATTTTGTTGACCCCAAACCTTAAACTTTGAGCTTTTTATTTTGTGCTGCCCCTTTGTAGTTCTTAAGTCATACTCGTTGTATACTATGCTAGTAGACATAAGGTGGCTTAGAAAATAAATAAAAGGCTATGAAGAACAATGTTCAGCATGCGTGTATTTGTACCATCTGTTTTCACAAATACAGATGTAATGTGAAATAATCTAGAATACTTAAAGCATTATGCAAATGGGAGATATTATAGTTTCAAGGAACAACTGATATTCCTCAGCTTTGTGCCTCTAAGAATCTTTAGTGGGGAAATGTTACAATCTCTCAAGAGTTAGACTCTAGGTTTTGAACCTTTGTTCTGGCATTTTAAATCTGATGTGCCGAGCAGAGAACAGGACCACATAAAGTACAGTCTCTTTTTCTTGATGTCGATAAAGCTACCAAGCTGAGACCAAAGAAGAAAATATATCACACTGGTGGAATCCTAGGTTCTATTTAAATTCTTTTGATAACTTTTTTTGACTGTCCTGGACACTTTCTCCCCTGTTTCCTATTATAGATCTTCAATTTTCCTGCACTTCTGTCACTGTTGGATAGATCTGTGGTTTAGGTATCCGGATGCAGAGCCAGAGGTCTCCCCATTGTGCCTCCTTGGAGTCAATGATCCATAGGATCGTTTCCACTTCTGCAGTTCTACAATGGTGATGAGGATGAGGATGACATCATCTTCATTTTTAAAATCTTATTATAGCACCACTTTCTTTTGCATTTGCCTTTCTGCTGTGACACCTAGAGCCTTGTCCCTTTCCCGTATAGAAATCTTCTGGCATGATATTTTCCCACCTCTATTTCTGTTTGATTTCTCAGAGGACCGATCAGACCTAAACTACAAGCTGCAGTGAATTGCCTGATGGGAACTTTTCTGGTACTGCTAGAGCCAAGTCCTGATTCATCCCATCAGTGGGTGCAACAACTTAGTACGTGATCATGGTTCATGTAAAGCCAGGGTGGGCAACTTCCAGAGGTCTGAGAGTGGTGCACGCATAACCTTGGATCTGAGGGGACTTTACTCATGGTCCATCCCCCAAATATTTTTCACTAAAAAGGCTTTTTTAAAAAAATGAAATTCTTCACACACTCTCATGGTTATTTTTTTAAAAAAATGCATGGAGTCAAGGGCCCCACGGGTAGTGAGGTGTTCTGGAACTGACATATGTGCTTCCTGTCCTACTTGCAGGGCTTCATCTCAGCCCCAGAAAGCCACATGCAGCTTGGAGGCCTGCACTTTGCATCCCTTTGCCTCCCTTCTAGCCCCTTTTATTCAGGTTGTGGTCAGAACCCCATGTAGGAGTTGCATGGGGTGGAATCATGCGAGAGAGGTAGATCCTCACCAGGGGGGCTGAAAATTAGAAGGAACGTAGCACATAAGTGTTGCATTGATTGCATTTCTCCACAATCACAGAAAATTTGTCCTGTATCCAAATAGCTGCCTTTTACTATAATTATCACTATGATGCAAGCAAATGTTACACATAGCCTTTGCTGCAAATCCTGTTCTTTTAAGTATTATCACTGCATTGTCTTCCTGCATTGAAGAGGAGGTTGGACTCAGTTATAGGCTGCTTCCAACTTCATTATTCTATGATTATAGGATTCTAGGATTATTGGATCAATACCATTGTGGAATCAATATCCCCAGACTTCTAAACAGGGACTGCCATTTCTATGTGAGCAGATATTGGAGGCAGAAAGACAGCAGTCTGAAAAGAAAAACACATGTTGGGTTTTGGGAAAGAAGGGAAAGATTGAACTGGGGAGGGATTGTGGAAATAGTAGACTTTTAAACCAAGCAAAGCTGGGTACACTTGCTAGTGTCAGATGACACTTTTTAGCCTTTAAGGTATGAGATCTTCCACAAGATTCTTTGCTGTTTTTACTGCAACGTACAAACACAGACACACCAATTCTTAATAAAACAAATAAGAGTCAGATAAAATCTCTTACAATAGTCCAGCAGGGGGGGGGGGAAATCTTTCCTCTTTTGAAAAGCCATGCAAAGATGAGACATATCATTGAGAAGTTCCTGTGACTCTGTCTGAAGGTTACTTATATCAGTCCTGGTTTTTATTTTTAACATTTAGTTTCTGTTAATCTAAGCTGGCTTCATGGTGAAGGGACAGCTTGATGAAATGTTTATTCATAAGAAAATTGATGGTCATTTTCTCAGGAATATTTGTGAATTGGCAAGCCCGCTTCCTCTGAGATGTGCCACTACCACTTACGGGATAAATGTGCAACTGATTAAATTGGCTTGTGCATAAGACTATATCTCATCAGAATTAAATTACAGGGTGCCTTATATGTTCATCTATCTTTTTTATATTACAGTAAATATATGTGGTCCTGATCCAGACTATCATATGATAGTTTTTATTTGAAAATCCTACACATAAAAACTTTTCATACTGGAGAGAAAATAAACTAAAAAGGTTGATTCCCCTTTTCCTAGCCATACATGATGGTACTGATCCAGATCCCAGCTGTGCATACTGACATAAATGTAAAAAAATCTGTAAACTACGTATGACATGCAGTATGGAATGACGAATCGGTACAGTTTCTATCTCATTATTACACATCCATTATCATTGGGTGACAGTTTGTCAAGTTTGTTAAGCCATAAATATTTGATGTTTCCAATCCACAAAACTTGCTCTGCTTCATATTATTCCATGGGTTTTACTTTTAGCTTTCTAGATGAAGTAGGTGCATGGACTGGCCATGGTTCTTAACCGTCTGCTGATTTAATCAGCCTAAAGGGGTTGTGAAAACCACTATCCTGCTGTGATAGTTTTGCAGCCTGTTTGAACAGGTGTGAACAACAGCACAGAATTAAAAGGGAGAGTGAACAAGCAAGGCTTGAAATAGGATAGTGAAAGAAAAGATGACACCCAGGTGGCAGCTGTAGTCAAACAAATTGGTTAAGGATGCTTCCCTAATGAATAATCATTATTGGACAATTCTCTCTGCCTCAACAGAAGGGCAGGAGATGTTGATACTTCATGCCAATACACTACAGGTTTGAAATGTCCAAACATTCTGGAATATAGGTCTTGAATCTTGAATCAGATGAATTTCATAAGGACCCAACAGGATTACAGAAATCCAGTTTCATATGCATAATAGTGTGAATAATATTTGGGGTAGGATGAGGTAGCTTGTTCAAGAGCTCCTAATAGGTGAGGGCGGAGAAACATAATAAATAAGGGTGGGGAATAGGGATGGAAATGAACGAAGCTATGAACTGAAAAGAAATCATGAACTAGGCTGGATCGTGGTTCCAATTCATGGTTTGGCTTGTGCAACTCATTTTGCCAAAACGAAACAAAATACCAAACTTTTTTCTGCTCAATGCCTTGGTTTGCTTCAGCAAAAGGGATGCCTGCCTGCCCCCTTCCTGCTGCTCCCATCACCTCCCTATCCGGTTTCCCCTTCTCCTGCTCCTCCTTTGCCATCTTAAAAGACAGTGGCATGGCGCCCCTTCCAGGTGTGGCAATGTGGAGGTGGTGGCACACCGATAGAAGCAGGTAGGCACCCACCCACTGGACACAAACCCAAAAACCCAACTGCTAACTGGCTCAGTTTTCTGGTTGGTTTGTGGCGATTTGTTGTTCATGGTTAGTTTGCAGTTCGGCTAACCACGAACCACAAACCATTTTGAGCCACCATTTTTCAGGTTCACGCCCATCTCTAGTGGGTGAATAAGGATAATCCACATCAAATACCAGTATGTATAGATTCTGTTCTTTTGTCACACAGAAGTGAACTCTGAAAGTCACATTCTAAATGATTGTCACGCCTCACCTGTCTACTTGGAATATTTGGACATTCTCAGAATTTCTCTGGGATTATTATCATACAACTGACATGTCCAGTGGCAGCTCATGCAGTTCTGCCAAATGCTTTAAAAGGTAGGAAGAAAACATTGCAGTCATACACTACTCACAGTGCAAATCAGGTGAAGTGGCTACACATAGCTTGCTGTAGATACGTTTCTCCAAAAAAATAGATCACAAATTGCCTCTCCTTCCAATATTTCATACTCTATGGCTTCTGGCATTTCAGAAAGAAGAGCTTCCTGAAAGATGCAGCCTAGAGTCTAGCTGTCTACAGCTTTTCCTCAGAAGTAGTTAATAAGCCTTTCCTTTCCTGGCCTAAACACTTCGTACAAACATTAGCTAGACAGAAGAGTACAAATAGCTATCTTAAAGATTATTATAGATCTGAGGTGCCCAACTTTTCAGCCAGTATGAATTTAGCTTATTTAACCAGACTTCTGAAGACTTTTGCTGAATGTGCTTATTAAAAGCAGAGTTCTGTGTTTTCTTTAATTATGTAAAAAAAGAGGGATGTAATCCACAAAGGCTTATACAAAATAAAAAAATAGTCTTTATGGTGCCCAAGACTCTTGTTGGTTTTGTTACCTATATGGAAGTTTTGTGCCTAACTATTTCAAAATGTTTTAAATTGTGCCTTTATACTTTTATCCTGTCTTTATTTTTGATCTTGCTTTGTGTTTTAATTTTATTTTCCATGCCTTATTACTACAGGTCGTCCTGTAGCCCAGTGGTCCCCAAACTTTTTGGGACCGTGGACTGGCTGAGCCTCTGGGGAAGGCGGGGGCTTGGGCACTCAGATGCATGTGTGAAGTGGTGGGGGAGCACCCACCCACCAGCATGGGTGTGAGCGCTCCCCCACCCCATTGTGCATTTGCAGGTGCGCCTGCACGCACGCCTGCACAGGCGCTCGAACACTGTGTGGAGGAGCACTCACACCAATGCTGGCATGCACGCATGTGCGCAAAGCAGTTGTGGGGAGGGGAGTGCTGCAGGGGGGCAAGACGTCTGTCTTCGTGGCCCGGTACAGCTCAGGCCATGGACCGGCACTGGGCCACAGACCAGGGGTTGACAATCTCTGCTGTAGCCTATTCGGATGGGCACAATTTGAGTCAACAAGTAAACTACTGAATAAATAGATCCCTATGATGTAAAATACAATGCATAGCCACTCTGTTTAGGAAATCTCATAGCCTTCACTGTAACGTTTCCAGGCAGTTCTAAGTGGTATGCTTTATTTATTTGTTTGTTTGTTTGTTTGTTTGTTTGTTTAATCGTTTGATCTGAGATAAGGGACGGAAAGGCAATGTCAACCCGCTGCTATTACAAATGGTAGTTAAATGGCACTTCCATGCACAGAAATATGCCTTCTTTCTAAGGTTTGTTTCCTGTATCCAGTATTCATATTTCAGAACATGGAAGGCTTTTTCTTGTTTAGGAGTTTTTTTTCCTTGAGTTTTTTTTTCTTCGCATAACAGTATGTGGTGGTCATTTGAAACCAGTTCTGTGAGGAGATTTCTAGTCAGCTTTTATCTATCTTGTTCACCACACAGGCCATGGTCTATGACTCCTTTCCCTTTTATGTGTCAGAACATTAATGATTTAGAATCACAGGGACACAAATCACCCAGTGATCAACAAACAATGTGTTCACCGTAAAGTAAAGCACATATCACAAGTAGCCAGTTTGAAATGGTATCTATTCGGTAAGCATATTCAATTCTTAGAAAAAAACAAAAACCCTCCAGTTTATGAAAGTGGGAAATTATGCTTCTGTATCCATGAAAAAGCTCCACATAGCAAAGAGCAACCTGAATGTTGACAACACCAATGGCAGCAGTCAAAATGGTCTATAGAATAACCTCTTTTGCTCACATTCATTCACAAAGTGACACAATTCAAGGATAAATCCCAGAAGCTGAATCCTTTTTTCACCACTTATCAACCAAACACAAAGCAATTGTCAGGACTTATTTTTCAACAAGTGTGATTGGAGTAACTTTTTCCAAAATCAGTATTACCAAATTTGGGGGCTGACCCAAAGTCCAGTTTCAAAGTAATAATGTTTTTGTCCCTCCCCCGCTCCCAGTTTTTCAGTTGGCTTATGGAATGTTGAATTGTGCTGATGCACAATATATGTTCTTGCATGCCTGTGCAGCAGTAATTGAATGAAGAGACCTTCAGAGGTCCAACTTAGATCTATACTTGGAAATATCTATGATTACTCACAGTGATGATGTGGACCTTTTTATCCTTATAGTTGTTGGTGTTTCTTGACTACTGTTGTTTGCATCAAGCCTGTCCTCCATGTCTCCCTCATAGCCACTATCTTCAGTATCTAAGCTGTCACTGTGATAATTCTGTTGTTCTAGTTCCTGGGTTGTATCTTCTTGTTCTATCTGTTTCCATCCTTTTGTCAATTCCGATACCAAGTTAGAACACTTCCTCCTTCTTGTTGGGGACATTTTGCCACTAAGAAGTTCATCAATATCTCTGGATCCTTTCTTGTCCATCTCTGTGCTCTCGTTGTCTTTCTCATACTTGTCGCTGAGAAGACTAACACCACTGCCTCTTTCATAGATTTTACTTACAACAGTTTTGGTCACTGGTTTGCTTCTGATGTTAAGTTTCTGGAGGGCTTCATTAGATTCACTTGAATTTGGTTCTCCATTTTGGTTTGGCACCTGTGGGTTTGAAAGCCGTTGTGCCTCATTCTTTGGTAGGTCCTTCTTGGGAAATATTATTTCTTTTGAGGGGATACTTGGTGTTTTCTCCTCATTAGGCACCCATCCACTGGGCTCCTGGGCTTGTTTCGTATTGTGGTCTGTTGCCCACTGTTGCCAACCTCGTGCCAAGCTGATGACAAGGCTAGCTGTTCGGATCTTTTTGACGGCCCTCTTGGCTGGTGTCACAATCTGGTTTTCTTCTGGAGGCATATTGTTAGCGATGGCTTCCACACCTATTCTTGTTTTTCAAATCGCTTCGTTAAAGCTTATCCTGAAGCAAATAACAACTAGAGGCAAAGAGTGGGGATTTATATAGCTGGAGGGGGGTTTATGACGGTGGAAAATATGTGAAGCATTTCTCACATGGAAAGACTATCCGTATTCTGAGAGTGTTCTTTTTTTAAAAAGTCCAGGCTTGCATTTCACCACAGCAGATGGACATTAGATATGATCAACATGGACGACTCAGACTACCTTTCCTTGGCCACAGCTGTGGTGGAAATTAACAGCACTCTTATATGCCCCTTTTAGAGGTAGTTTGCTCACACATTCTGACTGACAGTAGAATGTGCTTTACAGTGCTTTAAGTAATACCTTGCTTAATATTATATTTTCCTATAACCAAGGGGATTTTTAGACGTGGAAATCTCTTTAGAAGATTTGCTAAACAGTATGCTTCTATCTTTAAGTAACCTGCTTCAAGCTTGTGGCTATATTTAAATGATTTTAAATGGTTTTAAATGAATTGTTGTGCTCTGTTGTTTTAAAGGTGTTTTAGTCTTGATTTTATTACTGTTTTTGATGTAATACTTGTTTAAATTCCTTTTAAATATTTGTATACCTACTTTTTTTAGTTTTTAAATATTGTCTTTTTAATTATGTCAGCTGCCTTAAGTTCTTTTTAAGGAGAAAGGCAGGATAAAATATTTTAAATAAATAAACAAAAATAAATAAATATTACTGTAGCGAACAGCCCTGCCCTCACCTGTCCGTCACAGCTGAACAGTGGAGTGGGAGCCAATGAGAGGACGGAAGGTGGAGCCAAGGGGGGAGGGGGCTGGATATAAAGGCTGGTGTATGGGATAGGAAGAGAGATTCTGTGAGTGAGAGACAGTGTGAAACTTAAAAGTGAACTTAGAGTGAGTTAGAGATCTGTAAGAACATTGAATGGAACAGAGGGTTAATAGAGTTTTAAAGTTAAAGTGGAGTTGACTTAAATACACGTGATTAGCAACCCGTGATTTACTTATTGATTAATAATACTATATGAACTTCCCTGATCTAATAAATGAGTTGAATTTCAAAAGTACACATGTCTCCTTGAGTGAATGGTACTGACACAGCCATACCTGGTGGCAGCTAAGTAAGAAGAAGAGCGAGAACCTCATGAAGACCTGAGGGAATAGGGGATTCAGAGGAGATGGCCGCAATTACAGGGCTTGATTCTTACTGAATCTCTCAGAAATGTCTTGGCTTTCTCTTACAACATCAACAGCTTTTAATTTATCAAGGCAGGACTTCATGCTTAACCTGGCTTCTGTGAGCCCTACTGTGATGACTAGATATACCTCTGGATGCTAATGAAGATACGCACATCCATATCCATGTCCTTAGTTTTATTTTTGAAGGTGAGCCATTGTAACAGTATTATTCTGCAGCAACGTCAAGGTACAGAGAATTTCATGAGGTTACACAGTAAGAAGCCAAGACTCTGCTCAAAGAAGCTTTCTGGGGTGTTCTACCCATCTTTTCAGCCAAAATTGCTTCCAAAGGAGCTTAGAAATATCAGTCATAAAGTAGTTGGATAGGTCCTCGGAGTTGCTACCTATTGTTTACTGTGTGTTGTGTGTCCACACCTGTGTGTGCACCCATGTATGGATTCACACTTATGTATCTGCATGAAAGAGAGAATTTTCAGGGTCTTTTTCACTCATACCAGCGCCTTTTCCATTATCTGACTGAGATCCAAATGGTCCTGGAATCTCATTTTTTTCTTTTTCCCACATCTAATCATTACTATTTATAAGTTACATATTTATTTCACCTTTCCTCTTGAGAGCTCATGACTCTCCTTTTCTCCACTACATCCTTACCAACAGCTGTATAGGGTAGGTCATGCTGAGAAACAGGGGCTGACTCGTTTCATGGCTAGAATCCAGTTCTCTCAAGTCTCTATCCATCACTTTACTGTTTACACCACTTGGGTTCTCACATGACTACAGAGTATGACCAGAAAGTATCCTATAAAGCCAAATCAGAATGGGGGCCATATCCTCTGCCTTAAATCAGGACTTTTAGGGCTAATATGAAGGGTTTCTGGGTAACCACACCCCCAGGCCCTAGGAATGTCCATGGAAGTTATTGCCCCTGTTGTGTGTGTGTGTGTGTATTGGAGGAGGCTTCAGACTGCCTGGTGCTGCTTTCTGCTCCTGAGTAAGTACATTTACTTTGTTTTGCAGGGTGGGTTTGGGTTTTTTGGGGGGGTTATGTTTGTGTGCTGTGATGTTTTTTGGTGTTTTGGTGTGTGGTGTTTTTTTTCCAGCCTCACGGTGTTCCGATAGGGCTTGCTCTGTTTGCTTTTTATTATTATTTGTTTTTCAGCCCCATCCCTTTTTGATGGGACTGGCTGTGCGAGTGTGGGGGTTTGTTTGTTTGTTTGTTTGTTTTTCAGCCCCATCGTGTTCTGATGGGACTAGTTGTGTGGGGGGGGGAGTAATTTCTTTTTCAGCCCCATCGCATCCCAATGGGACTGGCTGTGTGTGTGTGGGGGGTGTTTTTTTAATTTGTTTTTCAGCCCCATTACGTTCTGATGGGGCTGGCTGTGGGTTTTTGGGTGTATGCGTTTTTTAAATGCTGGAATGGATTAATCATGTTCCAATGTATTCCTATGGGAAATGGTGCTTTGACTTGCGACCATTTCGAGTTGCGCCCATCTTCTGGAATGGATTATGGTTGTAAGTCAAGTCACCCCTGTACTGTAAGACATTAGGTCAAGAGCTGATGTATAATCCTCTTCAAGATTAATGGGGTATCTAGCACAGTTTACAGGATGAAAATTGTGGGTTTGTTTGGTGCACTTTATTGTGAAGAAATGGCTTGTTTTATTATTATGTGGCAACAGTGGCCAATAAAATATTTCCTTGTGTGTCAAAATAATATGTTATTTCCCTGAGTTTTTTCTCATTCTTTCCATCTGTCATGCCTGAAGTTTTTCAGGAGAAGGTGTGCACTCATTTTTAAGTGATGTAAACTAAGAGCTAAAATGGTGCATGTGAATCATTGGTTGCATGCAAAGTTCATTCATATCATAGTTGTATCAGAGTTAAATTTACACTCCGCATATTACATAAGAATACTCTAGCCAGAGAATCTTTAATTTGTTTCCCTGTTTGCCACTATTTACTTACTAGTCTTATAACAATTTATAATACTATTTGAATAATGTACTGTTTTTTCGCTTTTAATACTGTGTTTTTAATAATGTAAGCTGCCTTTGGTTCTTCTTTTCTCTCTTTTTTTTTAAACAAGAAAAATGAAGTAAAAATATTTTAAATAAATAAATATTTACCCTTATTTAACCCATGAATATGTACAAACATCTGGTTTAGCCTTCTTGCTGCCTCACTTGAATATAAGTAAAATTCCTTTGTAGATGCTTTCTCACACCTTGGGAAAAAGACAGGTGCCTGAGAAAGGGAAATTGAACATGCACAGAGTAATTCTGAGTGATCAAACGGCAGCAGTGAAAAATTTAAACAGTTTCTCCCTCCAGTCTTTCATCCACTGGCATCCTACTTTGCTGATTTCCTGGTATTTTCCAACTCTGCACTAATGGGGAGATTCTGGTGGTATATTTTCCATTCATTTACTAGATTTTCCAGGCATTGGCATACACGTATAATTCCTTGTTCACCTGTGATCTATGCGGGTGGAACCCTACCTACTGACATAAGATGCCTGGAAAGGAATTCATATGCACAAAATACTCAGAGATAACATTTCCATGAGGTTGCAAGCACCCAGCCCAGGGAGACAAGATCTATGAATCAAGCACTTTGTTTTCTGTTCTAGAGCACAAAATACAATTAGACAGCAGGTCATTTGTAAAACAATCATGATGTGATTGTGGGGAAATTAAAGGCCTTAATGACTTAGTAAGTGGCAGAGAATTTAGTCAATTTATATTAACTGATTTCTTTGTAAAATTTGGTATTGTTATCTGCATTTTCCATTCCAAAGAGCTACATTTTGTGTATCTCTATAGGCTGGCATATTTCATAATGTGTGCATACTACTACAATCACCTTCATTCTTTGAAAAGTTCTGGACACCTTGCAAATGTGAGAACTGCAAAGCAATGGACATTTCTTCTCACTTTGAATATTGGGCAGCATGAAAACAGTCTTTGCAAAGACTGTCTCATCTGATGAAATTCGTTTGCATCCGTATCGTCACCCTAAGTGCCAACATCTTTGTAACCAAAATAGAACCATCACGAAGCCAGAGGGAAGTTCTTGTTTCCTGAACTTTTCCTGACATTTACAAAAGTTTAAAGGAAAAAAAACCTTGGAAAATAAAGTCCAGGCAGGGCTGACCCAAGACATTCTGCTGACTGAAGCAGAACAGGAAATGGTATCCCCGTCTTCCCATGATGAGTTGAGTTGGAGAGTACCAAAGGCAGCTGATGCTGTACCAAAGCCACGATGCAGAACACCCTGTAAGCATCTCTCCTTTTCCATGAAAAGTAATAAGAACAAAGTATAGTAGTGTCTCGCAAGACAAATGCCTCGCAGGACAAAAACATGCAAGACAAATGGTTTTGGCAATGGGGTTGATGATTCGCAAGACAAATGCTCCTATGGCCGTGCGTCTCAAGACGAATGTTTTCTGTTTTTTGTTCCTGTCTCATGTTTGCTGATTTTTAAATGTTTTTCTATGATGGTTGTTCTGGGTTTTTCGGACTCTTTGGCCATGTTCTGAAGGTTGTTCTTCCTAACATTTCGCCAGTCTCTGTGGCCGGCATCTTCAGAGGACAAAGAGCCCGAAAAATCCAGAACAACCATTAGATCCCAGCCATGAAAGCCTTCGCGAATATATTTTTTCTATGATGTTTTAAAAGTTAAAATTTTTTTGATTGCACAATATGTTTGGCTTTAAAGAGCACTTAATAAACCCTTTGTAAACCAAATTTGACTTTGTTCTGACTTTTATTGCTCATAGGAACACATGAATTAGATTTCAATGCATTCCTATGGGAAAACACGAT